CCCCCCCTCTTTCTGCTGAAATTGTAAAATACGCCACTGGTTTGTATGATTCTTTTCATTATTAAATATTGGATTTGGTTTTTGGATCAGACTTTTTGCCAAAAACAAACCCATTGTCATGTCTGAAAGAGTTAATTTTCTTTGGATAATGCCTTTTTCCAAAGTAAGTTCGCCACCAACCATATCAACACCATCCTAAATTTAGCTTCTTCTTTTTTTGTGATTTTAATTTAGCTTATGCTACGAAGAGTGAAGCAATTAATGTGTCAAATTGAAAACGCGAGTTGATTATATTTCAATAAGGAGAAAATTAACTGTCATACAAATACTACTATCTAGAAGATCTTAAATTGACAGTCACACCTCTCTTTATAGCATTTTTTTGGAACCAACTTTTCACTTTATGTTTTAATATAAATGTTCTTTATAACAGCACTTCACTATAACAACCAAAAAATATCGAAACAAACAGAGGCGGATTCAGAATTTAAACTTTATGGGTTCAGATTTACAATTCTACCACATCTCATCTAATTTAATGGGTTTAAAATTTATTATTTATACATATTTAATAATATTTTTGGACAAAAATATAGGGTATGAGCAAAAGTTATGGGTTCAGTTGAACCCATAGCTTCTACACTAGATATGCCTCTGGAAACAAATGAAGTTGTTATGGAGAAGTTTGACTGTATTATTATTTAGGGACATGGGCGAAGCTACATGGCTTAAAGGGTGGTCAATTGACCACCATCTGTCTAAAAAATACATAACGTATATTAGGTAAAATATTATATTTTAGAGGTATATACCATATATTAAACACTATTTGTGAGGAAGTTTTTTTCATTACTTTTAAGTTTGAATATTCTTGGGGAAATTTCTGACTTCGCTATTGTTTAGGAATAATATTAATTTTCTTGAACAATTTAGGACATATTATATGCCATTTTGTGTTTCTTTCCTCAACTATGGATATCAAAAAATTAGATACGAATATATAGCGGTGGACGGTTATTGGTTCAACTAAACCCATTATCTTCCATTTCAAATCGAGCTATATATAAATATAATATAAGAGCATTAAAAAATAAAAATATAATAAAACACCTCAATATGAATTAGCTCCAGATTCTGCCTTTGCCTCTACTAATAGTGATCCTGAATGCGAAGAATAATATAAAATACAATCTCTCTAGTTGCACACAATTAACAAAGAATAAGATCACTTAAACGACTTTCAAATTTGAGGTTTAAAATTAATTCATCATTCATGTTTTGAAAATCATTCTTTAATGTTGCTCAAAGAACAGCAAAAGTTGGTGAATGGCAAAAGAAAAAATGAACAAAAAATAGTAGTGGTATTTTTAATACAAAAAAAGATTTTAAGAATTTTGAAAACAAAAAGAAAAGAAAAAGAAAGAAGGCGTGGAAGATGGTGGTGACAGAATGATGGTTCGTATCTTCAAATTTCAGCTCTCGAATTATGAGGAATATCCTCCTCCTTCTATTGGGTCCCTTTTTCTAAGTCTATTGCATACTCACTTTTTATGTCTTTATAATTTTTTATTTTGAAAAAGTAACTTCAAATAAAAAAGACAGAGAATTAGAAAAGAAATTCGTATTTTTATCTTATATTGGTTCGGTGGTTCCAACTTCCAAAAAATAGTGCATGAGGAAACAATAAGGCTGATCAACATTATTTTTAAAATTAGATGATTGTTAATGTTTTAAACTTTAATTCCTAATTTCTGCAAATAATTCAGTGATGACCTTACACGAATTAAAAATACACTGAATTTCATTTAATAATTGGATTCAAATATCAATTGAAGAATAAGTCGACGACTCATAGGCGATTGCTTAATTAAGGAAACCCATGAGATCTGTAGCGAAAACGAGTTCTTATGAGGCAATTGTCACCACTAATGGACCCTAACATGGGATCTATCCATGACTAGCTTCGCAAAGTAAGGAGAGATCAACTTCTTACTGTTTATAGAAATATCTGACCTATACGTACTATATTCAAGTTGTTGGCCTATCTTTCTAATCTCCTTTACTTCTATTGATAAGATTTTTAGCATTGGTCTAGCGAGAATGGGTTAATGGTATTGGCTAAAAAGGGAGGGAGGAGAACTTTAGGGTATGCTCACTTGTACATTTTTGCTAAGGAGAGATGAATGAGATCTTTTTATCCTTAATAAGGGTCTCGAGTTAAAGCTGTAAGAATGAAAAATTTATTGGTAGGGAACACTTTTATCTTTAGTGGGCATTATATGGTGCGAAATTTGAATTAGTCAGACCGGTAATATTGAAATCGGATGGTTATAAAAAAAACTAAAGAAAAGGTATCAACCTTATTTCCAATCGACAAACCTCACATCCCATTGTATTGGAAAATCTCTAGATCATCCAGATTAAAGTTATTATTGCGTTAACCTTTAGATATGTAAAAGTAAAGTTGATGCTGAAAGAGAATATATATTCCTTTAGCCAACTTTTGGTGTTTGGCAGCTGTTTGAAGAATAGTTCCTTCCATTAATGGTGAAAAAGGAAACGAACTGTTACAAGTTAAATAAAAGAAAAATTTAAATAAAAAAAAACGTAACATTTAGAAAATATTGGTTTGATACCATCTCTCTTGGCATACTTATTTAGGAGTGTTATTATGTTTTCTATAATGTGAATGATGCTAATAAGAAATATTTATTTGCGTTCGATTCATACACCAAATTAATATGTGCATGCCATGCGAATATTAATATGATTTTTTTGCATAAGTTTTACTTAAATATCTTTAATTAATATGTATATTTATCACTACTTATCACTTTATAATCATAGTAAATCAACATAATATGATGCATAAATCTAATGCGAATAATTTTTTAAAATAAAAATAATTAGTTTCTTTACCACTTATACCTCTTTTCTCCGGTTAGTTCCGCTCACAAGTTTATTTTTCGTAAAATAAAAAGTACTGAAGTGATTGAGCTGAGAAATTCATGTAGTACATTTGAAGCGAGTCACAAAAGTGCAAAAAGATAAAGTTCAATTGTAGCTTTTTGTTGGAAAAAAAGGTTCTATTAAATTAGGAACTTTTAAAAGTTTTTACTTAAAAAGGGAAAGAAAATACAAATCTAAAAATTGTGCAGCAATAGCCACTTTTAAGCCTGCTATTTAAAATATATTTTACAATTTACAATGTATTTAAAGATTAGCCAATTCATCCAAACTTCATAACTAAGTATCCTGAGTTTGAAAATTCAGGACTTAGTGTCCTGAATTTCTAAACTGCTAATCTAAAATTTAGGACATAAGATTTGAACCTTTAGACACAATTTTCGAACTTTAGGACATAATGTCCTGAAATTTGAATTTTGAGGTTTAAACTTTAGGACTTCAGGACTAAGTATCTTGAATTTGGAAATTCAAGACTTAGTGTCTTGAATTTTTGAGCTGCTAATTTGAAATTCAGGATTAAATGTCGTGAATTTCTGAACTACTAATTTAAAATTCAGGACATAAGATCCGAACTTCTAGACATAATTTTTGAACTTTAGGATATGATGCCCTGAAGTTTGAATTTGAGGTTTAAACTCTAGGACACCGTGTCCTGAAGTTTGAGCGAAATTGACTAATCTTTGAATACATTATAAAATGTGAATATATTTTAAATAACATGTTTATAAGTGGTTACCTAACGCCATTTCCACACTTAAATCTTTTAGTGTTTGCTTCTTTATATAAGTTGCCTATTCTAACCAATGTTTTAAAAGGCAGGAGCGTGAGACGGGATATTTTATTTGATACAGGGCGAGGCGTAAGCTTCGATACATGGGACGGAAGTCTTGTGGATCTTTAAAAAAATTTAATTAATAAATTAATAATACAACTCAATTACACAAACAAATTTAGAAAATAAATTAAAATTTAAAAAGTTAAAAACAATTAAAGAAACTCATAAATATGCTTTTATAAGTATATATATAAAATAATTCAATAGTGTTAAAGTTACTATAAAATATAAATATATTATAACTCTTAAATTTCAAATAATTAAAAATTATATTTTTTTTAACTATGTTACCAAAGTACATATTTTATCTCCCTAAAAGTAAATAATAAATAAAGTTCATCTCTACAAGTATAATTTATAATATTTGTAACTAGGGGTGTCAATGGAAATTTAAAAACCGATTAAACCGACCGAATCGTAATGCACCGAACTGATTTTTGGTTATACATAATAGAATAATCGAAAAATTGGTATGGTACAAATTTTATAAAATAATCGGCCGAACCGAACCATTGGCACCCCTATTTGTAACGACTCGACCAGTTATTTTGAGAGTTGTAGCCATGTTTCCTCATTTACTGCTCATTTTGTACTTTATAGTTATTATGTGACTTGCCGAGGTAGTCGATTCGGGTCCGGAGAGATTTCGGAAGGAATTGAGACACTTAGTCTCATGGTTGAAAGCTTAAGTTGAAATAGTTGACCGGATTTTGACTTAAGTATAAATGACTCCGGAATAGAGTTTTGAGGGTTTTGTTAGCTCTGTTGGGTGATTTTGGATTTAGGAGCATGTTCGGACTGTGATGTGGAGGTCCGTAGTTGAATTAGGCTTGAAATGAAAAAGTTGGATTTTTTGGAAAGTTTGACCCGGAGTGGACTTTTTGATATCGGGGTCCGATTCCGATTTTAGAAATTGGAGTAGGTCCGTAATTTTAATTATGACT